CTCTCTCTCTCTCTCTCTCTCTCTCTCTCTCTCTCTCTCTCTCTCTCGGTGGAACTAGAAAGACAACTGCTGCATCACGTCTTTCTAGTAATAAGTTCAGCAATACTGCTCTAACTCAGGACCGGTCCATGGCCATCATAAAAATGAATACTGAACATCTCCCTACTACCGCGGCCCCTACATTTTCCAAATGGGTTTTTATCCTAATAAACGTGTTGGAAACCCAAGCTGAAGATCTTAACTCCAGGTACTCAGGAGTCCTTTTAGCAAATAGCCTAGAAACCATTCACTCCCCACCTCCCCCGCACTCACCACAGCAGCCGAATGGAGAATCTGGCCCCTCGCCACTAGAGGGGGTATTTCACTGTCTCCTCATTTGGCCGACCAGAAATTCTGGTCCAACAAGAAAATGAGCCTCAAGCCTGCCACCCTGGCCTCTACTTCCCTTGTACTGTGTGGCCTTTTTTTCCCTTCCTCTTCTTCAGGCTTATGGTTATCGATTCCTGCTCTTATTATTCCCCACGTCATACCTCATTGCCTTTCTCCAAACAGACTAATAAGCTACACAGAGCTCATTCTAAAGGCCTGCTATTAACTCACTGGAAAACAGCCAGAAAACCCAACTAAGCTTTAACAGATTTTTCTTTATTTTTTTTTAATTTACCAAGATCATAGTCTTTCATTTAAGTCATAACAAGTACAAAAATGGGAAAATTTAGACAGTAACAAACTTCAAGGAAGAAACTCAGTATCTTCTTGGACCTGCCCAAGGTTTCAAGTAGCCAATGGTACCACCGCAAGGCCATTTTTGGGGCCAGTTATTATTTGCCTTGAATAAAAGGGTCTGGTTGAGAAACGGACCAAACACTGACCTACGTCCTCCTGACCGTAAGAGTCTAGATTCCAGATTCTAAAACAAGCATCTGGATGGTTCCTTACTTCATTAAACTTCTTCTCACTTACAGGGAACAGCCGCTGTCCCCACTACAGCACCCAGTCACTAAGTGAGGAGAAAGTGAAAGAGGGACACAAAAGGAGGAGGGGGAAGACAAGGAAGAGAGGAAGATAATGCCAAGCATAAGCCACCAGGCACCAAATGCAGGGATCCAAGATCAAAGCTAGCAATGAGAATCAGAAGCAAGAAGGAATGGCAAGTGGGAAGGATCCACCATGAGACACTCGAAGCCAGAAGGCATCCATGGAGACAGACTGCTGTTTTGCTCCCTGCTGTTCTCTGTGAAGAACCCTGTTCTACAGCATGGTCACTGGGAGAAGACAGCAGCAAGGAATGGCCAGTTAGACTCTGCATCCACACTATGAAGTCAGAAGACAGACGAAAGGGCTTTGATAAGAGGAAGACTATCAGAGTGAGATCAAATCCTCATGACTTGGACCTGCTTGGGACTCGGGATGCTTTGACTGCAAGCGGCAAGGCCCCAGATCTTGCTACCTTACACAAGGAACTACGTTATCTCACAGAACTGCAAGTTCAGAGGAAAGGCACACTGTGGTCAGCAGGTGCACAAGGTCAACCTCAGGTCTCTGCCAACCTCTGCTCTGACATCTTTGAGATTGACTCCATCTCAGTGTAGCTTTTCTCAGGAGCCCAGGATGACTAGAGTTGTTCTAGCCAGCGTACTCACATACAGGAAAATAGAGGAGGGCTGACCTATGTCTCTCCCCTCTTTCAAGGAACTGTTTCCTAAAATTCTTTGTCCATCTCTGCCCTCCACATCACCCTTCATGGGCAAAAGAAACAGGATTCCCCATGCTGGTTTAGAATAATCACCTGAAGTAGACTGAAGGTTGGAGTGCCTATCACTTTGGCATTCACACTGGTGAGTATTCCTGTGACAACACTTTCATTCCACACCAAATCCATAGCTGTGCTGTTTCCATGATCATAACTAAGATGGCTGAGATTACTATGCACCTGTATCCCATCATGAAATTATTTGTCGGCTATAAGACACAGTAACTTTCTTGAGCTATCTGCTTTGGGGAAAAAATGTAACGAGGGCTGGAGAGATGGGTTCAGATCCCAGCACCCACGTGGCATATCACAGCCATTTGTAACTCCAGATACAGGGATCCAATGACTCTTCTAACCTCTGTGGGCATGTGTACAGATATGGTACACATACACACACACACACACACACACACATACACACTAAATATTTTTAAAAACTTAACAGAACAAGAATGGTAAGCAATTCCCACAGCAACTACAAAGGGGACAGCTTTCTAGGGCCTCCTTTTGAAGAATATTCTTTCCAACATTAGTTTTGGATCTGGAGAGACATGGTAACTGATGAGTTTACACACTACAGACACCAAACATAGCACATATTTTAAAACCTTGTTTTAGAGAAAATCTTCTCAGTAATTTTTCTTCATGCTGAGTACAATGATTCAGACCGGTTATCCCTGCACTCAAGAGGCTAAAATAGGAGATTCTCAAACTGAAGACTAGCCTAGACCACACAGCAAGATCCTGTCTTTAAGAGCAGCACCTCCCTCCCTTGAGATGGGTTCCCTGTGGCAAACTGCATTCACTGTGAGGCAAACCTATTTCTTTGTACCTCCTTCCACTACTTAACTGATACTCATAACATTCAGCAAGCATGAATTTCAAAAATATGATGGAGAGAGAGAGGAGGAAGGGGAAGGAAGGAAGGAAGGGAGGGAGGGAGGAAGGAAGGAAGGGAGGAAGGAAGGAAGGAAGGGTAGTTGAGTTCCACAGGAATTCTCAGCTGGTCTCCTTTGGGAACTCAGAGAGAAGTTTGGTAGAATGGCTTCATTTACAGACTGCCCTACTTAAGGCAAACAGGAATGTCTTGAGCGGCCAGGCTGGATACAAGCTGAGTAAGAATGGACAGAGGGAAGAGAATGGTAACCTATGTATTAAGTCTAATTTATTAAAAGTGTGCTGGCCTGCAATTGTAAAACAGAAAAGCAAAAAGGAACAGAAACATAATCTGGGGGAAAAGGTGAAGAATGCTTAGGTCAACCGGGGCAAATAATGACAGTATTCAGAGTTAGCATGTAGAAAGCCTTCAAATCACGGGGGGGTGGGGGGGGTGGAGAGCATAAGTCAGTCACAGACTCATTTGCAGTTTTTTTTCGTCTTTCTATTCCTTATCTACATTTTTTTCTGAGTGTCCTGTACTGTATAAGCATGACCTTTTTAATGAAGGAAAAAAATAAAACAATCAAGCCAACATGTTTTTATCTTGCTACGAGATGTTATGATTTGTTCTAACCAGCCTCTACTGCCTCTTAGTTAAGATCGCATTTGCCCAACTCTCTCCCACTGCTGAGCAGCTAACAGAGCTTGCTTTAGCATTGCCATTTCACCAGCAGCAACATGCTGCTGTGGCTAGAAGTTAAAAGATTAGAAAAATGCCTTGAGACTGAGCCAGGATTGTTTGGTCACTCCCACGATGCACTAATAATACTACTCAAAAACCTAAGAGCTGTTAGGATACATTTTTAAGCAAACTGTTGTCTTAGCCAACTTTTACAGTTAATCAATTTGCTTTAATTCAACTAAAGTCTATTTGGCCAAAATAACTTCTAATCCAGACTGGTCCAGGGCAGAGTGTGCCACCACCCTCAGAGGGAAGGCTGAAGGCAGAGATAACAAGCAGGATCAAAAGGTAAGGCTCAATAATAAAGAACAGGCAAGGTGGCCTTGGTAGGTTTGGAAGAGAAAATGCCCGGGGCAGTGGTTCAAAGTGGAAGGAAGTCTTTTATTAGAGTGCACCAAAAGGAACTAGGGATAAAGTGGATTTAGCTCTAGTGGCCTGGACACTCTCCTGGTAGGACAAGGCTGGGGTGAAAAAAAAATAAAATAAAATGCTTCTCCTTCAAGTGAGAGATTTTATTCTTCCATCCACAGCCACAATTCTAGTGAAAGAAGAAAAGGGTTCTGCAGCTGGCCGGTGCAGAATGGAGACACCAGCGCTGCTTTCTGGACACTTCGGTTCCCCTGAAGAGTTAGAAGGCAAAATCCCATTCGGTCAGAGGAAGCAGAGGTAGTGGTTGAGGGGGTTCTGCATGAAGAGAAGCAAGCCAGATCTCAGGGGTAGAGGCCTCAGGCAGCGCAGCTCAGCTTCTAGAGAACTGGTTAGCAGTGACCATCAAGAGCCAGGGCTGCCTCAGGTTTGACAGTCTTACGGATGAACCTTCATATGCTCAGGATTCACTCTGCACCAATTACTGCGCCCTGAGAACAGGCAAGCCTCCTGGGCAGCCTCTATCCACTCATCAGATGACTGCTGGGCTGGCGTGGCTGCTAACGAAGGCCGAGGCAGCCCACAGAAAGACACAGGCATCACTGCAGAGGTGCTCCATGGGAAGAAAAGCAGGACTGTATTCGTGTTCAGTCACAGAAAAAAAAAAAAAAAGTGTGAAAACAGCACGCGGATGAATCAGTCCTGCTTCACCAAACAGCAAGCAGGAGAGACTAGACTATCTGACAAGCAGTGCCAGTGCAGCTGAAGAGCCATTAGGAAAAACACTAAGCGGGACCTACCTATTCCATACCATACACCAAGACAAATGAACCAAATGTTAAAAGCTAAGATGGAAATGGCAAAAGGACACACATCAACATGAATTTGTTCATAGACTTGGAGTGGTGTTGGGTTTTCTAACTGACAAATTCTAGAAGTCACTAAAGTCGATACTGACAAATCCAACCATATATTTTTCAGCCGACATGACAATAAGGCCGCAAGCAAAGTTCTTAGGCGACAGAAAAGCGACAGGAACACGGTGTGGCTCGGACCGCACAGGCAGATATTTATACTGTAACCAAGACTGCACAGGGATGTTCAGCTCCCTCCACCCCCAAAACATGGCAAAGGCTCTAAAAGTCACTTCACAAAAAGGAAAGGGAAATGGCTCTTAAACATAGGAAAAGGTGTTCACACTTACTCATAAAGAGAAACAGAAAGTAAAACCACGCTAACATTTTCACTTACCAGACTGAAAAAAAAAATCCCAAAGTTAAAGAATGTACTTTGTTGGCAAGAATATGCATTAATCTGGTATTTGCCTATATTGCAAGAGAGGTATACATTTTACAACTTCTGTGGAGTGCAATTTGGCCATATTTATCAAGATACTATGATGTGTAGTCTTTCGCCCAGCGGCCCACTTCTAGGAATTTTACAAATACATTTGCACAAGTATGAAATCATCTTCACAGCTTAAGTATTTATTATGACAATACTTTTAACTACATACTTCAAACTTCCCAAACGTCTATCAGTACAGACCAGCTAAATAAATGATGATGCGCCGTCAACCGTGCGGGAGCAACCTCTAAGACACATTATTAAGCGGAACATGTCTAAGACTCCTTCCACTGGTATGGAACCAACTCCAAGACATGCTGTTAAGTGAAAAAGTCAGGGCAGCACGGACATGCCCTATTTGTCTAACAAAGGAATACTGACTTCATGTCTGCCCCAGCGTTGAGATGTACTTAAAACCTCTAGAGAAGTTCAGGTGAGAGGCAGGGGAAAAGGAAACTTCTCACTCCTCAATGTTTAATGGTTTGTATCACGCAACTATACCCTTTCAAAACTTAAATCCTCAAATGTCTAAATGTGTGATGTAGCTAAAATTCAAGGACCTAGTCCATGTTCTCCAGTCTATGGCCCCGCCGCCTGTGGGTGGCACATACACACATGGCTTGAAGTACGTGTGAGAAAGTCACTGATGGGAACGCTAATATGACAAGGACAGGGACAGTGAAGGAGAAAGGAAGGATGAAGTCTTGCAACAGCCTTTCGGATGGATGGCTCATCAAAACAAAGAAGCAAGCCAGAGAGGAATTCTTGAGGGTGGGAGTGGGAGTCTGAAAGCAGGGCAGGGGCTGTCTGTAAAGTGCATGCATGGGAACAGGAAGACTTCAGTTCAGACCCCTACATCCGTGTAGAAAGCCACACGAGCTGCAGCCATGCACACCTGTAATCCTTGAGCTGGGGACCTCGGGCGGAAACACAGGATTCTCAACGCTCACCAGCCAGCTAGCCTAGCCCGGTCTATCAACTCCAGGGTCAGGGCGAGACTCTGTTAAAAAATAAAATAAAACAAAATAAAATACCCCAAACATGAATACACACTCTCACAACAACGCAAACACATGCATAGATCACACACACAGACACACCTGCGACCGCAGACAAAAGCAGTGCAACAGTTCCTTTGAATAGCTGAATTGGTTCTACATTCAAGCACAGATGTCGGTGTGTGTGACTCCGGCATGCCAGAGTCTCCACAGGCGAGGCCAGCGGCAGCACAGACAGGGTAGAGCAGGCTTTCTCTGCACTTCTTATGCCTGAACCATGAGTAAAACGACCTCAGAAGGCTTGGAAGGCTACAACGTGGGTAAAAATACTGAAAAGAGAATATTTTGAATAAGCTTCTTGCAATCCAGTTTCACAGGTTCATCAAATGTTCACAGAGCATTTACTCTGATAAAGAACTGCTTTGAGGGCTCTGTAAAGTCATCAAAAGAAACAGCAATTCCAAAGAATTCAGAGATCCAAGACAACTGGAACAAAAAGACATTTGGAAGGAGTTTGAGACAAGCATCTATCAAAAAATGTTTGAAAAATTAAAAAGTCAATTTCACAGCTACAAAGAGTATTGGTGCTATGGTAAATACATTGCAAATTTTATCCAGTTTTTCTATTGTAGTTTTTTTTTTTTAAGATGGTGATTAGCATGGGAATTTAAAATAATAATTATTTTCAGAAATTAGGAAAAATAGGACAGTTTATTCCATTTTACTACACTTAAATAGTAGAAATCTTTAAAATATGGCTTTCTATTCTCCTCACCACAGTTGATAAAATAGGAAAACATAACTGGAATAGAGAACTAATCTAGAACAGATGTCAGGGAAGAATTTTTCCAGTACTGAACTATAAACATGCAGAATAAATACTGGAAAATGTACTATGGTAAAAAAAAAAAATCAGAATCAGTTACTAATTACATGATCTAAGTAGGAAACCAGATACCTAAATATGTGGAACAGGCCTTTTAAAAATAACCCTAATGGACAAATTGTGTCTTTACTATCCAAACCTGACTTAGACAATACAGAAACCTGCAATCTGCTAAAATTCCAAACTTTCCAATGCCTACAACGCTGGGCTATTCATCCAGAAGATGAATCCAACCACAGAAGCAGCAAGCTCACAAGCAGAATCCCCTGTGCTTTTCCTCATCGCTTTGCCAGAATTTCTTCCACTTGATATGCTCTTGGAACTTCTCGGTGGTGACCTGCCCGTATAGTCCACTTTTTCTGCTCACACTCAACCGGACACGAAAAGACTTACATCCCGTCTCAGCACCACTAATTCTTCTCTAGGAAAAAGCCAGAGGACAGCTCTGGCCCGGCTGCCACTCCTGAAATACAGATTATGCCTAGCATGCAGGAAGGATCAGGAAGGAATGAAGAGCAGCAAACAACAGAACCAGCTCCAAGAAAGTTTGCTAATTTGTATGAAGTCAATTTGTGACTCATCCATATTCAGATGAATGTTCAAAGACAAATTCCAAGGCTAAATATAACATGACTTTTGGACTATCCAGGCTTCTGCTCATCTCTAGCTTGCGGACAGGGAAAGGGCTGTGATGTTGGCAGTGCACTGACTCTCTCAGACCGCTGAGACCCCACTCACTTAATGGCGGGAGTTCATTACCAATGCAAGCCAGGGCAATTTAATAAACTACTACCCATGCAACTGTACTACCAAAAGCAAAAGTGTTACCCAGAAGAGTTAATGAGGTTCCTGACCATGAACGGGGACTTAAGAGAGGGGGGCAAGGCCGACTCATGGCTCACAGAATTTAACTGGTTCAAAAAGCATTCAACTTTAGGATATACAAGATCATAAGGGAAACTCAACACTGTCACTTACAGATCCTGACAGTTGGGCCCCTAAAAGATCAATGTACCAAGATTTGGTGGCTTCACAGGAGCCAAGGGCAGTCCCCGCTGTAGAAAAACAGCTAAGAGCTCTGTCCTCTTAGCCTCTCACTTTTGGAGAAATGAAAGAAACCAAACTTCTATGTGTGAGGCCATATTTTTTTTTTCACAGCTGGAATAATGGGCAAGCATTGAGCATTTAGCAAAATCTAAACTGGCTTATTACACACAAGCAATAACTTTTACCTTCTAAATGATTGTGGTCTTCCAGTGACTAGGGAAAGCATGACTAACAAATCAAATAATCTTTTAAACTACATTACAAGCCTATCCTGGCCATTAGCATTACAGGTAGATAGGAAGTCATTAAGGAGACTGTAGAATATTATAAACTCTTACACCATAAAGTAGTCTTTCCATCTTAGGTTACATCCTAGAAATGTTTCTATAAAATCAGAAAATGTTCCTGCTTTGTTGTTTTTGCTTGTTAAAGTAAGTACTTTGAGTTACATGAGCTTCTGACAAATCATAAGCCCCAAATCTTCGGCCACTTCATCTCCCCACATAACAGCGGCAGACAAGCCTATGTCAATGTTTGAAAAGATAAGAAATTCTGCAATTTTTGCATCTGATTGAACATAGATGTCATAGTTCCCAATTTTCTAAGTCTCCCCAGGAAGACAGTAGCACTTGCAAGCCTACAGCATCCACAGTTCATTGTTGAAAGCAGCATAAGAGAAAGTACAGATAGAGAGGAAAGAGCTTAGATCAGAGTAAGAGTCAAACCAAAAGTCTGCCAGGAAAGAAAAGAAAAGATCACAGCAAAGCTTCCTACGCAACAAGCCAAACTGTCATTTCCTTGTATCACCACGCAGCTGTCTGCGCTTCTGGCGGGCACCTTGACAAGCTGTGTTCAGTCAGGAATATGAAAAGTTCAGGTAAAGCAAACAATGCCAGTGACCTCAAATATATCCATCCACACCAAAAATGCCCTATCCATACCTCTGCAGCATGAATTACTGCAGCAGCCGTCTCTCTGTGTTCAAGTTAGATAGGCATATTTTATGACTATTTATTATCTGTGAACAGAAATTTCAGGGATGTGTGAGGCAGGTTTTCTGAAGCTTGCGATTTGACCGGGTTGTAAGCTATGGAGAAAAGAGAATTAAAAAGCAGGAAAATGAGAAAGATATGAAAGACTCGAGCAGTCTGGTTCTTCATAAGCTCATTTTAGAGGCTGAATAAGATTTCAGTAAGTGGAGAAGGAGGAGAAGGGTATCTGTTTTAAAAAGAGGACTGTGGAAGGCTGTGGAAGGAAGAGTGAGAAGAGCAGTTCAGCTCTGACAGGAAGTCTGGAATTAATAGGCCTCTGGGCTTTGGGGAGACACAATCCACTTTGAAGGCCATAGGTGACAAAACAAAAGGTGTAGTTTAGAAAGACCAATCTGACAATGATAGAATTGATTTGAAAGTTTACAATGGTCACTGAAATGGCTGAAGTAAGTGTGTGTGTGTGTGTGTGTGTGTGTGTGTGTGTGTGTGTGTGTGACCTGAAGTTAGTAAATGTCATATGTACATGTTTCGGTGTGTACATGTGTGTGTGTAGTATAGGACCTCTATACTGGTTTTAAAAAACACGGGCTTATAGACTTATAACTCAAAACTTATTTTCCTTAGATGACAACATCTGGCTTGCAATATCAGTGTGTGTGTGTGTGTGTGTGTGTGTGTGTGTGTGTGTGTACAATGCACAGGTGTGTATAGGGTGTATGCACATGACTGGGTACTCACGCGTGTGGAGGTTGGGAAGGGCTCAAGCCTCCCTCTGTAGCTGTCCATCTTATTCTCTTGAGATCGGGTCTCTCATAGAAGCAGAGTTTTACTCTGCTTTGACTAGCCAACAGGCTCCTGGGATCCACATGTCCTGTGTGCCTGAGCTGCAGGCACAGAGCCGTGAACGGCTTTTAACATAGGTGCTGGAGATTCGAACCCTGATCCTCCTGCTTGCACGGCAACTGCTCTTACACACTGAGCCACCTCCCCAGCTCCTGGATTATTTTTTTTCACCTTTCCTTATTTGTAACAGTAACCATTCTGTACACACTAGCAAAACAACAAGATTACACTGCATTCTTCTCAGAACAGTTTTTTTAAAATATACTTTGCTAAAACAATTGCTTTATATCACACACACACACACACACACACACACACACACACACCAAATTTCCTCAAATCCCTTATTTTATTTTGCATGAGACATATATCTCTTTTTTTTTTTCTTGCAGGCATATTAGAGCTACAAATATACAGCAAAATGAAATGGTTTTCTTACAAATCTATAATAATTTCTGTAAAGATAGTTTTTAACAGACTGGCTGTTTAAAAGGTAGAAATTGCTTTCTTTACTTTCTTTACTAGAACATGCATGGATGTCCTTTTTCCTAGAAAAAGGACTGAACTTGGAATGTTTTCATTATGCCACAGATTAAGGTACTTATTCTATTTGGTTTCTCAAAATGGATGATTAGCTGCATCAGTATTGAATTTCACTTAAAAATATTATAATAAAAAGTAATCTACATTTCTTTTTTTTAAAAAAAAAAAGCATTGCATGAGCCTCATAGAATATTATTTCCTTCTTGTAGTAAATCAAAGCTTTAAAATGCAGAAAAGAATGGATATGAACATATATTTAAAAAAAATAACAGGAAATTTCTATTTGGTGCATGGAAAGAACTGCCTTTGTTTGGGGACCTTTGATTAAACAGCGGGTATTTGATCTATAAGAGAGCCCTGTCTCTGCTTACACTACTTTCCTCTTGAGTTTCAAAGACTTGTCAGTTATCAATAACCACTACAAACTCTCCAATGGTGAATCCGGCTTCCCACTCTTAGGAGTCCCAGCCGGGAACAGCAGCCTAGCTCATCCCAACTGAATATGCGTGTGCGTGTGCGTGTGTGTGTGTGTGTGTGTGTGTGTTCACGCGCGCCAGGGTAAGTCCCAAAGGCATACTCACTCAAAGACAAAATCTATACCTAGAGATTCCCGGCCAGCTAAGGGTGAAAGTTATTATTTTTTTTTTTTAAGGCAAACAAGGATGATGGTTTCCCCTCCACTACCACCACCCGGGGGGGGGGGGGGGGTTCGCTGTTTTTCATACAGAGAGCCCTAAGTGTTAAGAGTGGGAGATGATCCTTCTTCAATTCAGGGGTGTCTATGATGTTGGGTTCTGTTATCAACACACATGCAAGCGGTGTTGCCGTGGATCTGGTAAATGTTCAGGCTCTCTGCTACAGCAACAGGGTAAACTTCAGTCTCAAGCCAGGAACTCAGGACACTGGAAGCCCCCAGTTCACGTGAACAAAGTTAAGTGACTTTATGACAACCTGAGTAAGCAAGGACCTGTTACACACTAAGTTAGAAAGTATTCTGTAGGAGCGTATTCTGTAAGTC